GTTGTTGGATCGGAGTTGCTTGTCATACCGCGTGATGAATGTTGTTCTGTGCGCATTATTTGACATCCTATGTATGTGGTATTCTTCTCACCCTTTTCAATGATTCACTGTAAAAAGAATCTTAGCCAAATTTCTAAAAGAGAGTTTCGGACACGTTTTATTACATTTTTGGCCAGTATATCCTTTGTAGTTTGGGGTCTTCCGTAATTGCCCACGGTTGTGGAAGTCTTTGGGGTAATAGGAGACGACCAACAGCCCCCCCCCCCCCAATCGGAATCTGAAAGACACATATGTCCTGTTATATATTATTGATTATTACTTCTTGTTTCACAAATTTAACTTACATCCAGAACTACATATTTTGCGTAAATATCAATAATTGTTTGATATTTACGTATAAATTGTTCAACCCTCTCAAAATCATAGATAGGATTAATGCTTTTTCATTTTTTTATACATTCAGTTTCTCAAAATGAAAATTATGTCATTCATGTACACCATAGTGTTATATATTAGGCAAACAAAGCTGATTTCATGGTGAATTTTATTCTGAAAAAAAATAGTTCAATTTTAGCATACGTCATATATGCATATATTATGTACTTTGGTGCAAAAATGGTCAATAGTATTAGCCTAATAGTACATAAGCTAAAGTAAAATGTAGTCCTATGTGCAATGCATGTTAAAAGTTGGCAACACTGACATTAGTGTGCGTTGTCAAATGCAGAACGAGAAAAAATGTGACCTTTGACTCTATGAAATCCAAGATGGCGCCCATGTTATAACCTTATAACCTATACATGTATCTGCCCAAAACTATATATATATCGAAATTACAGACTCATATACGAACATGAAATACGAGGTTCGAACTCATAACTCGGAAAATGCGCCCGGGAGGGACACTTGAATTGAAGCTTCAGCGCAAAAACGCACATTATGTGTGGTTTTCAAACAGATAGCAACGTCTATGAACATACGGTGTTTAGGATTATTAAAATCGAGAAAACAAAACAAGGGTATTTTTTCAAAATGATAATATAAACGCAAAAAAGAATATATTTTAATTCCCATGTCTTAATTTCCTTTGTAAATCTCCCCGGTGTACCCGCCGGCGAATCTTCTGGGTAAAAAAGACCATGCTTAAAAAAGCATATCTAGCTCTGTATATCACCGAGAATAACTTGCACTGCACCAAATGATATTCCTTTACAACCCTATCAGAGATGATCAGATTAAAACCTGCAACTATTAATGTGAAGTACAAGGTCAATTATTAATTTGTATACGCTATCACAGTACCCATTTATAAAACAACAACAACAACAACAACAATATTCGAAAAATAATATCACATTATACAGAAAAACTGTATTGAATCGCGAAGTCAACAATTTCAGAAACAAAAACAGATATATTTCAATGTTGGAAATTGCGATTACAAAATTCACACTGTACATTTGTTATTTTACCAAGTTATATACAGATTAAATCAAACAAATGTCAACACTACGAGTAGTGCTCGTCGCATCTAAACATCAGTTGCCAAATAAAAACAAACCACATGGAGGAATTATGTACATAAGAATAATCTAAATGTAAATTTTCTTTAAAAAACTATGTAAATATTAATTATTTTAACAAATAAGTATTATTACTTTAGTAACTGAACATCACGGCACTGATAAAATACTGTAAAATGACTAATTTTCACTTGGTTTAAATTTCACTGATTTACCATTTCCGGCATATTCAGTGGGTTTTAAATTCACGGTTTTATCATTTACATAATGTGTTTTATGCTAAATTTCACATATTCACAGGGTTTTAATTTAGCGCATTTTCCAGTCAGCGAAATAAGCAAAATTAAAACCCAGTGAATAATTAATCATTTTACAGTATATATGCATAACACATAAAACATGAAAAACTACATTCCGAAATCCAAAGTAATATCCTAAATTATATATACTATATTATCATATGTTTGCAGAAACGTATCAAATGTCACGTATGAAATTTAAACTAAACTTAAATAATTATACTTTCCATCGTTCCTGTATGCAATGATTATTTCATGACGATCATCCTAATGTCATATTCTATTAGCATCAGGTCGTCATGACTATATGAAATAATAATGAACTAAGCCAGTCACTTGCTAGATCACAGACTTGGGTTGATACGTATAATCTCGTTGAAATAACGGAATTCGAGTAAACCTGTATGTAAGTTTTAGTATATGTACAAGACACGATGGCCGAATCTGGGAGAAATTTAAAGTAAAAAACACACCCTTTTTTCCACAATCTGGGAGCTTGTATTTATTTATGTGTGCACATTTTAGGAGTCATAAAGAATAACTTTTCTTATCCTTCTGGACCGTGCTGTAATTTACTATCACCCCTCCCGATTACGAAGCTTACGCTGTTTAATATGTACCGTGGCATTTTTCTTAGTACGTTCGCCCGGCCGGGTACGTACGCATTGCATTGCCGGGGATCGTCGAACGCCACATTTCCCCCCATTATTTTTTTAAAGTACCCCTTTTTTACGATTTCACGGACCGTGGTATTCAACAAAAAAAAACCTTTTCTCCGAGAATATAGGAACGTGGATGCGTACCATTTTTTTCTGGAAGTGCCACCACCGGGCCATGGAGCTAGAAAGCTAGCTCCATGGACTGGCAAAGTCGCGACTTCTTTTTTGTTTTACAAACAAAAATATAATCAATTGTCAATTAAGCCTTTTTAACGTGATCGCGAAAACTAGCGTGACTGCGAAAGAAATCCCGACTGGACGCATCTGCAAGCGACCTCCTGCGTTTGAGTGAAAACCGGAACGGAATCACTGCGGTGATTATGCTAATTAAAAGTTGTTGACTAGCATTGACAACGAATCAGAGCGCAGCTGCATACGTCATATCGTATCTATGTTAATGTAGCGACCTTTCACTTCTGAGGTCCCGGCGAGTGGGAAAGACTACTTATATACATTGGACATTTAAATCGACATATTTTCAGTAAACATGGATGAAAGTATCGCCTTTGCACTTAGAAAGTTAAAGTATCCATCTATGCTATCGAATCGAATCAACCTTTAAAAGGTCATGTTTACTTTCACACACCCACTCATAATAATCAATGACATCATGCATAATTAATATCAGTCAAATGCCCGCAGATGCGTCCAGTCGGGATTTCTTTAGCGGTCAGGTTAGTTTTCGCGATCACACGAAAAGGACTAAAAGAACAATTAATTATTTCTTTTTGTAAATCATTATTTCTTCTTGCCAGTCTAGACTGCCCTCTATCACCGCTATCTACAACGATTAGACTGCCCTCCGACGGAAAATAACACGGGAGACGGGGGTGACAAAAGCGGTGTCCAGTAAAGCGTGAGACGGCTATCTTGACAAATTACCCTAGCGTGGCTAAATTTGTTATAAATTATGAGTCTGTGGGCGCTCGACAGGGGGCGGATTAGAGTCACGTGATATGTCTGTTAGATTCAATATCACCATTAGACGGCTCTCATTATGATACTGCCGTGTATCTTAACACGCCAGGTGAACATCATTATAGCAAGGTATGTTCGTATTTTCGTAGTTATTTGTGTACGATGTGTAACACAATTTTTTGTGTACAAAATTTATTTCTTTTGGACTCCCTTCCGAGCTCTCTTTAATGCCTTTATAATGTTTGACGCCAATACCTTCGTACCCGCCTTATTCAAATGTGTTAGGTCTCTTTCGAAAAAACAAACATTCTGTAATCTGGTATGTGTTATGAATCTGACTCTCTCCGTTCTCGCAGACATTTCTCTTATCATGAAGTTGACGCTTGAGATCTTCCAATTTGACATGTGATCATCGCCTCTGGGCAGGATATCGGAGATGTAGACGTCAGCTGAAGGAAAATTTGATTTAGCAATTTCAATAACTTCACACATATTCTTCGCTATCTGATAGGCAAACTTGTTTGTGAACACGTCATCGCTACCAATGTGAATGATGACAGAGTTCACGTCACTGGATCTGTGATCTTGTAATGCCTGGGCAGTTTCCGCAATTGTTGAAACCCGGATTTTTGTACATTCTCTGTTTTTTCCAATTTTGGTGGGATCTATATCCCTGATAACCTGGTCACCAAAAATGATCAGGGCGGTATTAGTGTCTCGTCTCAGGGCCGATTGTCTGATGTGACCTCCTTGCTTCACGTTCTGAATTTCACAGTGACGGTACGATGAGCTCGGACATGTTTGTATATGAAAAGGATTCGTTAAAATGCCAGCCTCAGGCGGATCTGTAGTTGATCGATGAAGTTGAAGGCGGAAATCTCCCAAAAG